TTGTCCTTTGCATAATATCTCTATTCAGAGAAAATAACGACATGCTGTCAGTAGTTAAACCGGACAATATATACTCTACTGGAGAAGTGATCTTTGCTAGGTCATGCAAAAATTACATTAGACCCGGTTCGAATAGAAACCGGGACTAAAGAATAGGTTTAGTCCCGGTTCAAAAGCCCAGCGGCACTTTTTGATCTTTAGTCCCAGTTGGCAAGTCCCGGTTCAATAGCCACAGGTCATGTCAAGCCCTCGAACAAACATTAGTCCCGGTTGGTAATACCAACCGGGGCTAAATATCACTCTTCCAAGCATCTCACGCGCTCTCTCTCTTCCTTGTCTCCTTGGCATCCGCACAAGCTTTTCACTCCTTGTCTTCCTATCTTATCCCCTCTCCTCCTCCACTCCTTCTCCTCCTCCTCCACTCCTCCGATCCACTCCTCCTCTTCCCCTCTCCCGGCAACAGGCCACTCCTCTTCCCCTCTCCCGGCAACAGGCGGTGGCCTTGGAGGGCCATAGCAGGCGGCGGCCGGGCGGAGGGCAGCTAGGCGGTGGCAACGGCCCGGAGGGGTCATCGGTGGCGCTTATGAGCGGGCTGACGCGGCGCCGGAGACGACGATGCGAGGACTTGTGTTGTTTTTCTGATGCCATTGTATATGTGTGGTGCTATTGTGGATGATTAATTTTGTTGAGTATGTGAATTTGTGATGCTAATGATTTGTGAATTTGTGTTGTCATTTTGATCTGTGATGTTTATTTGATTTGTGAATTTGTGATGTTTGTGAGTTTGGCATGAAATCAATATGCAAACAGCAAAAAAAAAAGAGACCTTTAGTCCACCAACCGGGACTAAAGATGAGCATCTTTAGTCCTGGATTGGGCATCCCGGTTGCATACCCGGGATTAAAGGGGTTGCAAATAGGAAGTATTGTGGGTTTCTCCAGTAGTTATATAATTGAACAAGTGAACTGTGATAGCGCATAAGTAATTTAGGAGTTGGTGTGAAATGATTATCAACATGGAAGTGATAAAAAAAATTTAAACATGGAAAATATATGCTATGTCATCGAGTTGGCATGTATGCCTCTAAGATTTTACCATGGATTTTGTATCTTTTTCTTCAATGCATATGATTTTGCAGATTTTACTTCGAAATATAAGGCACTATTAATCATTGGTTCTAAGGCCGAGGGCTACACTAGCATGAGATAGGTCATCTCAATCGGGCGGAAACCATCATCTGCGTCGGGAAGGGCTCCCGTCACAAACCAAAAGTCACAGATGTGAGAAGTCATCTGTATCGGGCATTTAGTCGTCACAGATGACAGTTATCTCAAACGGGCCAAAAATGGTGCCCGTCACGGATAGGTTTGACCCAGCAGATGAGTCAAACCAGGACCAAACTAGGGCCCATCACTGATGAGATCATCTATGACGGGCTCATACTTCAATCACGGGATTGGTATGATTCCCATCACAGATGACTCACTCAATCGGGCTTGTTTTTAACCCCGTCACGGATGACTCATCTATATTGGGTTTTAATTTAGGCTCGTCACGGATGATATCATCTCTATCGGTCTTTTATTTAAGTCCATCACGGATGAGTATTTTACAAAAAAAAATTATTTTTTGGCTAGCCTCAGGCCTTTGCTAGCCATGCCCGCTGAAAATGACAGAAGAAGCTATATATATTCCTTTTCCCAACAACCCCGTTCGCACATCCATTCACAAATCAAACATTCAGTGATCACATCGACATTCACACACCCATTCACATATATATGTCTGAGACATATATTCAATGATCACACATCCACATTCACATATCCATTCACATATGTCATTCACATCCATTCAGCGACATGCATATTCAAGAGTCAAGCATCAAAAACCTGCAAAACCGAGTTATAAATTGGAACAAATTTATAAGTGATTAGCATTGCAAGTATATATAGAAACGTCAGACCGCATTGTATTACATAATATATATATATATATATATATATATAAATGTTTAACCATTGTAAAATCACATGTATTTGATCGAGAGCGTTCAACCCGTCTTTTGTCTTTCCAGGAATATTTAGCAGTAACCATTATAAAATGAATGGCCAAGGATTGATGCTGAATGTAGCACCCTCCCGTAGCTCTAGAGGATCCCGCTACTCCTGAATCCCCTTGGTGTGCCTTAACTGACAAGTGGCCCTATGAGTCGATAAGAAATAAGGAAGTTACTGGAGTATTTGCCATCTTTTAAAATAAAATGTGTATACGCTTCTAGTTTTGAACATTTTTACTGCTCAAGAAAAGAATCAATTATGTTTGAGCCACTCATTTGTACTAGCTCGGCCAGTGACAAAACAAAATTCAAATGGCAAAACGAAATATATATCAAAATCGAGAGTAGAAAAAAAAACCCATCTCTGTTTTCGTGTGCTCAGTGGATGTTCATGTTGTTGTATGGTTAACACCATGTGCCAATATGCACACGCTGATCGGCAACTATTTCTTGTATGAAAATGACACAGCAAGAGCGTCTCTCTCGTTTTATGGCAATGTTGGCTTCATGTTTCAATAATTGAGGTGATTGCGATAGATGCAAGCTAGATTCTTCTATTCTTGTGTGCCTCATCTGCTATTCCCGGTGGATAGGGCCGCCTGCTATGCACACTCTGATGAATGCGGGGTTGAGGAATTGATGATGACAGCTCAAGGGACTGTGGAGGATTCCAGTTGCAATAGGTGTAAAGTTAGATGGCTTTTGAGTAATAGTGAAGAAATTGGGCCAAATGATTTGGTTCGAGAATTTATCTGGGCATGTATTGCGTTCAGCATTATATTGAGCTAGGATGACTTCATATTCAACTGCAGCTTGATTTGGAAAAAAGATCCTACCCAAATACCTATAAATCTCACAACAATTTAACTAAATGAGGATATCGTAATCACAAATGGATGGCATCACTTTTTTCTAAAAGCAAACATTTTGAAATGTGATTTTAAGATTAATTTTAGTCAAGTTATTTAGTCGTCATCTTTGCAACCATGAAAAATAAAAGTGGCAAATAACCCCCCCCCCTTCCAAAAAAAAAATAATTCTAAAACCAAATTCTATAATTCAAAATGAGATGTGGCTTTTTAGGGGAAAACAATGCCAAGTGGGATTGTTTAATTAGTGTTATTAATCAGGAGAAAAACATGTGTAGTTTATCTTAAGAACTAGAAGCACACCGTGATTTAGAACTATCTAGAGTTAAAAATTCTCTTGAAATACTTGTTCTTCAACCTACACCATGATTTGCTCTTATAAAATAAATTTCATAAACTCCTAGATATTGGGTCGTCCGTAACATAAAACCCCAATTGTTGTGTTTTATTTTAAGTAACCTCATATTTTGGGGAAAATTGTTTCAAGAAACATATTTGTGTAAACTACTCATATTTTAATATAATTTATTATTAGTTTTAAAAAATTCACATTTGTTGACTCAAAGTACATATACCTCTACTTTATATTTTTTTCTCAATTTTGCACTGCACAATTTTAGTGCAGTGCACATCTTAAGTTTTTGTGCAGTGCAAAATTCTTTTGGCAAAGTTTCGTTTGGCATGTGTACCAGCAGCCTTGGGAGAGTCAGGTTCTCAGGTTGCAGAGAATGGAAGTAAAGCATAGTGTTAGTTATCTGTGGAAAATACCCTGGCTTCTTCTGGACAGTTGTTTAAGAACTTGATTACATCTGTTAGTGAACTTGGCTTACGTCCGGTTGGATGTAGAGGTCGGATTTATCCCCTTTTGTTAAAAAAAAAATATGTCGGTGAACTTACGATCAGACGCACATTCCTGAGGTCCATTGGAATCCTGATCTCAAATTACATGGTGGACTCGCCACCTGGCACAGTGTAACATGTGCCTGGAAGGGTTCCAAAATGCCGAAGATAACTACTATCTCCATCTCATAATATAAGGGATTTTGGAGGAATATGACACATCATAATAGTACGAATCTAGACTTGTCACATTCCTTTAATATCCCTTATATTATGGGACAGAGTGAGTATTTGGTTATTGTGGTTATTGGCCTTGTTGAGTCGTATCCACATTTATTTTTTTTGAAAGTAAAGAGAGATTTCATTAATGAGAAAACAGAGGGTTACATTCCTGGTTCAAGAGATCAAGAATTTCTGCAGGGGAACACAATCTCCAGACCGTATTAGTTCCTGATCCCATTACCAGTTGGGCTAAAGCATAAGCTATCTTATTAGAATCTCTCTTTATCCTGTGCACTTGCACCTGAGCTAAACATAACATTGCCGCTTTAACATCTGAAATTATGCCACTCCAATCTGCTCTTGAGACATTGGTCGCGTTTAACTCAGCGACAACACTTGTATTATCTGATTCTAAGATAAGTGGCATATTCACCCATTCAGTAGCAAGCCGGATACCTTCCAGACACACCAAGGCTTCAGCTTGCATTGCTGAGCTGCACCGTGGTAGTTTCTTACAGGAAGCCAGTAGCACGAGGCCTCGACAATCCCTGATTATTATCCCAGCGCCTGCTTCACCTGTGTCCTATTTGAAACCTGCATCAACATTCAACTTGGCTACACCTTTGGTGGAGTTTGCCACTTGCTTTTCGTTCAGCTGTTGTTGTATGTATGTCTCAACAAACATTGGTCCTTTTCCTTTCACATCATCAGGTTGTTGCCGAGTCATTAGAGTGCAATCTTCGTAGTTCTTCAAAAAGTCGTATCCACATTTAGAAGCGCTTGAACAAACAAGTCAAGTTGAAAAAAGAGTAAAAAAAAGTTTAGAAAAATTTTGTTCAACTGGTTTCCGATGGCAACCGCTCGGTTCAAACTGAACTTATCATATTTACTTTGCAATCTATCAAAACATTGTTAGGATATGTTTTGCCATCGATCCAGAACAACCCTCATACACTATAACTACTGTCTCAGTAACACGTTTATTACATTCCAAACACACAAAAAAGAAGTCTCCTACTACGTTTGTCATCTTCTATTTTCTCTTCTCATTTCCAAAATATGGATTAAAAGATATTCATTGTATTATTCGATGAATTATTTTAGAAGCTATAATTCTACTAGGAAATATTAGTTGAATGTATAGCTATAATTCCTTTTTTTATTACATAACAGATATAGATAAATATCTAGCTCAAAGAGATGGACCAGTTGTGTATCCCACTCAATTATAGCTACACATGGGAGATCTAAAAGTTGCTACAGTACAATGCCAAATTAATAACTATTTGCCTTCTGAATATAGCTAAAGCTATTCACCAAATGCTTATTGTTTTGACGCATATGAAAACTTATTTGACCATGCAAGAGATACTATGGAAGTGAGCTGATGAAGGAACAGGGATCAGGAGGACTGGGGATTGCAACTGCACCATCAAGCATTTGTGTCACCTTTAGCATGTTAGGTCGCATGCTTGGGTCCTCCTGAAGGCACCACAATGCCACTGTCACAAATCTTTCCACCTTCTTAATATTGTAGATCGCCTCATCATCGCCCTCTACCAGCAAATCAATCCTCCCAGACCGGTAGCAGTCATTGGCCCAGTAAGTCACTATCGTCTGTTCCTCATCGACAACCTCTAGCTCGACATTCCTCCTACAGCAAACAAGCTCTAGTAGTATCACTCCGAAGCTATAAACATCAACCTTGGTAGAGATCCCAATGTTCTTGAACCACTCAGGTGCAACATAACCTCGAGTACCCCGAATACCGGTGTTTGTCCTTGTTTGGTTTGTCAAAAGAAGCTTTGCTAGGCCAAAGTCTGAAATCTTGGCCACAAGGTTGTCATCAAGAAGGATATTCTGCGGCTTTATGTCACAATGGATGATTTGCTTGCTACATTCGTCATGTAAGTAGAGCAAACCTCTTGCCACCCCAAGCGCGATATGAACTCGGGTGTTCCAATGTGGGCGACTATTGTCGAACAAAAGACGGTTGAGAGGGCCATTGGTCATGAACTCATAAACTAGCAGTCTTTCGGCTCCTTCATTACAGAAACCAAGCAATCTAACCAAATTCTTGTGGAATGTCTGCCCAATGGTCTCGACTTCTACCATGAACTCCTTCTCGGTTTCTGGTTGGAGCTTGTCAATCTTTTTCACTGCAATGTTGGTCTTGAGTTCATCCTCCAACTGGCCCTTGTACACAACACCAGAGGCACCGGCACCTAGAATCTCATGGAAGCCAGCCGTTGCCTTCTCCAGCTCTTTGTAAGTGAAGGTCTTCAAGGGTAGTTGGGATTTACTTGATGCTTGTGACAATGGGATATTCTTTTTTGTGGCTATTCTACAGTAAGTACCAAAAAGGAAAATGGAGATGAGTGCAAAGTTCACCAATATGGAGGTTCCAAGAATCAAAGAACTCCCTAGGACCCAGTGCTTCCTGTTCCTCTTCCATTTGTTGGAGCTTGTACTGATCATGGATTGCGAACTATTGCTACTTGGCACCTTGAGAAGAACGGTCCTCTGGACATAGTCAGCCATATTCCCATTTGACAAAGGGAGCTTCTTCTTCCAGCAAGTGCTGGTGCTCTGATTGTACACCGCCATGGCGCAGAAGCAGTCGATCACACACAGCCTTCCACAATCATCTTGTCCTATGGGCTCATATTTCTCATAGTCAGACAGTGGCCAATCCACACCATAAATTGGTCTCAGCTCAAACTGAGCAAGTGCCGTTGCCTCATCCAAGTCGCAGCTATGCGGTTGAAAGTCTTGCTTACACCCTTTGTACTTCTTCTGCTCATCGAAGAACTTGTACCATGGTGGGCATTGGCAGCTTGCAATCTGATTCCTGGTGCCATCAAAGGTGCAGTAACTGTTGAACCCACAGACGCCACTGCCAACATCTGAAACTATGGCATGGCAGATATTCTGGGGCTGCATGCTCACTGCTGTCCATGTCTCACCACCTAGGATGCCTGCATTCGCTTTCTTCGGGTACACATATTGCCGGAAAACACCGTCAGGGTCCAGTGTGGCGCGATGGAAGTAGTCTGCCATTGATCCAATTCCTGCACCTGATGAGATGTTGATCTGTGTACCATCTGTCAGTGCAAAGTATACCTTCCCAGTCTCACTGAATACCAACTCTGAGCCATTTCCAGTCGTGTCAGTGGACCAATATTGCTGGTATTTGGATCCAGAGGGAACAGCAACAAGATACAGGGCAAGGTTTCCATCAGTTTGCACATCAAGGAGAAACCGACCACTGGAGTAGTCATTGATGTCGAGTCGGGCACGGAGTGACTTGTTGCGAGTCTTGTTGCAAGGTATCACCTGAGTAGGCAAGATGGTGTCTGACGGCATGTCAAAGGTCTGCCACTTTGTCGTGCCGTCTGCACCAAGGAGCACAAAATTGCCGGTGTCGCGCATGCTAGCATATGCCACACTGGTAACCTGGGGATTCCAGCCCTCCTGACCAGACCGGTCTTTCAGTGAGAGTGCACCATCATTAGTGAGTTGGAGAAAAGAATCAGATGGCACTTCTACTATCGATGGATCTTGGTCAGTATTTTTGGCATACCAGACAACTGTCTTATCGCTAATCTTGTTGAACCAGACGGCGATGAGGTAGAAGGAGGTGTTGCCCTCTACAGGTCGGAAGCCAAATGCGAAGTCGCCAGAGGGTGATAGCCATGAAGAGGCAGGACTCTGGGGTGCCAAAGTGGAGCCCAATGTGATGTTCTTCTGAGTTTGTGCACAAGTTGGGGACAGTAGCTGCAACAGCATGGGAAAGAGTAGCAGAGCAACCATTGTTCTTTGCTTCAGGCTCTTGCTTCCTACCCCTGATAACAGCTGGTGAGCTGCCAAACTTGTGTAGTTATAGAGCTATCCTAACACTTGTCATGGAAAGGTCTTCGTCACCATGGAATTCTACATATACTTGACTAATCAAGCACTTACTGGAATTTGCCACGCAGAAAGCAGCAATAGGGAATTCGTGTCACGATAGCAGTAAATCCGTAGAAATTCTTGTCCAGACAAAAACAACAGGTAACAGCTAGTGAGACCAAATAGACCAAGGCATCAAGCTAGTCAATTCTGGCCATTAGTAGCACCACGGGGAGGATTTGCTGTCGTCGACATTCTTGCTGAAGTAGACAGGCTTGACAGGTGTTAACTAGCTATAGATTGCCGAGAAAATGTTTTTCTACCCTACACTTCAGGGCAGAAGAAATGTTTGCATACATTGAACTCCTCTAAAAAAAAATGAAGCAGAAAAAATGTGTGACATGTGTCTCTGAATCTTTTGCCAATTGCATAATGACTATCAGTATCAGGTCTGAGTAACAAATGTTTGTACTAAAACAGCTTAGTATGCGATAAATTTCAGGCATGCTTTTGCATAGATTATGTCAAATACAGTGTAAAGAGTAATATTTTGGTCCGATTTTATAAGTTCGGAAGTTCCCTAGGTCACTTCAATTCTACATGATGAACAATAAGTAGCTGTATTTGGACTCACTAGTCCTGGGATATTTCTATCATATAACGAACTTGAACTGAATCACAGTTTACTGAACTGAACTGAAAACAGTAACGAATCGAAGTGTCAAACTATTGGGCTCTACAAGCAATTCATCAAACAAATCGTATGCATTCTCGACCTAACGACTCCACTGTTGGCATCCAATTCACTGAGTAAATTAACAGGAGGGAATCAGGAATCACCACTGAACCAGTACTCTTTGCAGACCAGTTGGCAGTTGCCGGCTTGCTGCCGCTGCGAGTTGAAGCCCCTCGCCCGTGGCCTCCCTCCCCTTGCCGTCGCCGCGGCCGGCGGCTCCGTTCCGGCGGATCGGCGCGCGCCGCCGGCGATGCCATGCATGCTACAGGCTACGGCCGCTCGGCTAGGGTTGGTCTCTCGCTCTCGCTCTCCCTCTCCCTCTCCGAGACGCCGTGCCTGCCGCCTGCCGCCGACTTGACGAGTCTGACCATCGGCGTTGGGCTGCCTGAGCGAGTGAGCGGGTTGAGGATTAGCTAGGCAGTTAACAGCTCATTCGCCCTTCGCTCTCTAGCTCACTAATTACCAGTTTACCACATCTTTAGTTAGATATTCTCTCCGACCCATAATATAAGATATTTTAGGTGTATTTAATGGGAATACCCTGGATCGGTCCCTCGGAGGAGGGAGAAATATCGGGCGCTCCCTCCCCACCCCCTCCCCCGACGCGCGCTGCCTGCCCCTGGGCCCACCACATCTCTGCCCTCACCTGCCACTTATCTCCATCATATACTCCATTGCAACAAATTACCCACATATTTTGGAAATATTCTATTAAGGAAATTTAGTTTATTTTTGTTCCACCGATAATGTTTCATCCAGTGCACTCACAATGTTTCACTATGTATATATCTAATGTTGCAGTGAACTGAAATACTCTATTGCAACAAATCACCCACATATTTTGGAAACCCTCTATTAAGGGAATTCGTTTTATTTTTTGTTCGACTAAAAATGTTTCACCTAGTGTACTCACAATGTTTCACTATGTATAGATCTAATGTTGTAGTAAACTAAAACATTCTTTCGCTATTTGTTGAAACATTGTTTTTATATAAGGTGAAACAACACCCGATTTAAACGGGTGAAACATTTTCGATCTACGTAGTGAAACAATTTCGATATACCTGGTGGAACATCGTGTAACATTTAAAAATAATTCAATAATAAGCTAATTTTTTTATCGAAATATATCCATGTGTGGTCTTGTTTTTAAGATTTAATTGCAACAAATTTAATGGTGTAATCGGATCATGATTTGGATAAGTAGTTTAAGAGAAAAATCAATTTAAAGTTGTTTTGCACGTATACGTGGCGTTGACGGCGCTGACGTCGTGCTGACGTCAGTGCCCGATTTTAACCCCCCATCGGGCGCCCGTGCCGAAGTCATTCCCGTATGTAACACATACTAGTATAATAAATCTGGATAGACATATATGACACATACAAACTAGAACAATAAATCTTGACATATGTGTCACATCTTCCCAAAATCCCTTATATTATGGGTCTGTCTAGATTCATTGTATTAATATGTGTCATATCTACCAAAAATCTCTTATATTATGGGTCTGTCCAGATTCAGATTCATTGTACTAATATGTGTCTGTCGCGTCCTAAAACGACCCTAAAATACATCCTCTAAATGATGCCTAGAATAATTAAAATACTTGTGAAAGCCTTCAAAAATTAAAATGTGCAAAGTTAAAAGTCAATTAAGGCTTGGAGGATTTTTGTATATTTCCTAAAAGCCTAAAATGTGTAAATAAATTTTAGTGGAATTTTCAGAGCATAAATAATAATTATTAAGAAATAAACAAAGTTAAAAAGGTTTTATAAAAAGAAAACCCTAAAAATCCCCCTTCCCTCTCTTGGGCCGAATCCGGCCCATCTCCCCCCCCTCTCTCCTCTCCCCCGCGGCCCATCCGGCCTCTCCCCGCGCGCGCGCCGCTGACGAGCGGGCCCGCCCGCCACCCTCGCTGACGGGTGGGGCCCACCCATCATCCCCTTCCTCCCGCTGCTCCCGCCGCCTCGCCCGCGCCTAGCGCCGCCGCCGCCGCGAATTCCGCCGCCTCCCGTCGTCCCCGCGTGAAATCAATAGGAGGGAATTACTCCCCGTGATCCCCTCTCCCTTTCCCCCCATTTTCCCCTCTCTCTCCCTCATTCAAACGGGCGGATTTGCCCCCGCAAATTTCGCCGGCGCCATTGATGGCGGCCGGACCTCCCGGCCGGTTTCCTTCCATCCCCGGCCGCCCTCTCTCCCTTCCAACCCCATTTAAACCCTCCCTGCACCTCCTTCGCCCGTTTCCACCCTTTGCCGTGCCCTCTCCTCGCCGGAATCGAGCTCGCGCCGTCGCCCTCTCTCTCCTCTGTCGCCGACGACCTTCGGCCGGCTCTCTCCGCTCGCCGGGACCGTCTCCCGCCCCAGTGTCGCCTTCTCCGGCTTCGCCGCACCGCCGCCGTCCCCGTCCGCCCCCCCGTCGAGCTCGCCGACCGCCGGAGTGCCGCCGTCCCCGTCCGCCCGAGCCGCGCCGCCGCCTTCCTTTTTCGTCGTCGCCGTCGACCTAGGGTGAGCCGTGGACCGCCGTCTCGTTTCCCCCTTTCCCTCCCCTCTCTCGGCCGCCGCTCCACCGTGCCTATGGCCGCCGCCGGCGACCATAGGGGCGCGGGCGCGCCGCCTCCCGCAGGCCGCGCCGATGTGGCCGCCTTCGGGCGCGCCGAGCGGCTGCCGCGTGGGGCCCGGCCGTCAGCCGCCCGCGCCCTCGGGTACGGCTGACGCGTGGGGCCCACGGCGCCGGCCGGTGTGAGCCCGGGTGCACCCGGTCCACCGTGGACCGTGAGGCTGCCGCGTGGGCCCCACTCCCGTGGACCCGGTCCTCGCACCTCTCCCCCTCGGCTGACGCAATAAACCATTTTTAAATTAAAATTTAAATGAAGAAATTCGTAAATATTCATTTAAAGAGCATATAAACTTCAAATGGCCATACTTTGGCCATTTGAACTCGGAATTGGACCGTTCAAGTCTCTAATTTTTCCTTAAGAAGTCAAGAACCCATTTTTGTGCTTTGTTCCTGTTTGTTATATGAAGTTTATTAGAGTAAAAGCCTTTTTCTTTTCCGTTGGTCGTGTAGACGCTGCAGCTTCGGAAGATCCGCTCTTCGTGGAGGTTGAAGCCGACGTTTGGGAAAGCGAGCAAGGCAAGTCATATCATCTTTGAACATATTGGATCCCACTTTATGAAATTATTTTGATTTAAATTAATGCATTATCGCTTTATTTAAATTCTCGCGTTATCACTGTTTTATTTAGCCATGCCTATTTACCTTTGTTATGACCTTATTTTTGTTATTGTTATTATTACTTTGTTCACCCTAGAATAAACAAAACCCCAACTAGTGGGCGCTCTACTCATGGTTCCCCTAGTATGAATTTAGATAGATGCTTCGCTGATTAATAAGACAACATTAGGTGGTTTTTATAACTTTAGACTTTGGGAATATTCATATCTCTTGGACTTTATGGAATGGTTGGACTATTGTGGAATTGGATGCACACCTCTCCCTCTATTCAAAACTCTCAAAATGGTTATAGGCTGGGCTTGGGGTGCATGGTTTTGATAGTAGCACCTCGGCCACATAAGGACCGGTCTTCGGGCCTCTGTTGCAAAGCACTACCGTACTTCCACATGTATAGTGGGTAAGGCTTAGTTTGTGGCTCAGTCTGGTTATAAACAAAAGTACACGGATGGAGATGGACGAAGTCGGGGGTCGATGGACATCTCTAGGACAAATGAAGGCTACACGAGCTGCGGCCCGGTAGTCGAGATGTCATGGCACAAGGCTGGTGTCCTGCTGCTAGGGGCTCAGTCCTACCTACCTGTCCCGGAGGTTCCGGCTGTAGGTGGGGTTGGGTCGGTACTCTTGTCTATGGCTAGGATGGGTTGGAAACTATGTCATGTCTTCCGTCCATATGCCGTGGTGGTATGTGGCACGTGGTTGCACATGAGGAAGACGTGTCTTGTGGGTAAAGATGTACACCTCTGATCAGAGTAAAACCTATTCGAATAGCCGCGCCCTCGGTTATGGGCAAGCCTAGCAATGTACCCAAGTTAGTGTTTTTAATTCTTAAAACCTGCTTAATAACTAAAATGTGGAATGGTTGGCCTGGGTTGGCTTGGGACGAGCTGGGACCCAGGGTCGGGTTGCCGGTTCGGTCTGAATCATCGTAGGCCTTGGGTTAAGGCAGGTTCGTGTGGGTTCACGGCCTTGTTTAATAATATTAAATAGTTCTAGGATCGTGTTTTAAATTTGGCTTTGAGCAACTAAGAGTCTTTTAAATGCTGTTTATTGCAAAACCTAACCCCTATACTATAACTCCATTGTACTCCTTTGCATTTATGTTGCACTTGTGAGTGTGTCTTGTTGAGTACGGTGGTTGTACTCAGTCTTGCTCAATTTTTCCCAAACCCAGAAGAGGAGCTCCTGGATGATGAAGGCTTTGGTGTTTAGCTCGTGCCTGCCGTCAAGCGCCTGTGGTCGTCGCCCTAGTCTTCCGCTGTTTTTCGTTGTCTTCGTGTGTGCTGGGCCCTCGTTGCCCATGTAATAATTAACTATTTACGCTTCCGCTTGATTAAACTCTGAATTGTATCAACTTTTGGTGTACCTTGCCTCCTAGGACAAGGAATAATACACGCACATATGGAACACCCGTTGGGTTATTTCCGGTCGTGACATGTGTCATATCTACCAAAAATCTCTTATATTATGGGTCTGTCCAGATTCATTGTACTAGTATGTGTCACATTTATATTATGGGCCGGAGAGAGTAGATATATATGGACGGTTGGTTTAAAGTTTATATAAATTTAAAATTTGAAATATTTATGATCGTACGGACAGTTGATTTAAATTTTATATGGATTTAAAATTTTAGATATTTAAAGTTTATTGAGATATTTAAATTTTGAAATCTTTTACTACCTTACTATCATGTCTATCTATATATACGTGAGATTCTTAACTGGACCCACCATTCCCTTCCATTCCTCTTCACCACATAGCTGAATCTTTTGGCGCATCATAGTGTCCGGCTCGAGTGGAACAAAAAAAAACAGTAACTGAGCTGAAGAATATTAATCCATGGGAAACTGAGGTGATGTTGCAACAAAATTCATTGAACAAAACAATGCTTTTGGCTTGTACATGTCACCTTTTTTTTCTACAAAATTTGATTTATAGTCTACCAGCTCAGTTGCAAAATTAAGTCCATATTGATCTAGCTACAAATGTTCGGGTGGTTGCATTTCCTGATTTACATTTCCTGATTTATTTTATTTTGCATTGATGCAATGCTTTCCTAGCTCTGACACTGCTTCTCCTTTCCTTGGGCGGTTGAAAGGCAGAACAACAATTAGAGCACCAATCACCAAATCTTTATTCAACTTTTATTCTGAAAGTTTTCAGATGATTTTGCAAAACAAAGCTAAGTTCCTCAAATGATTCACTCAATCTCTCTAAGTATATCAAT